AAGAAATGAGAATTCTATTCTCGAAGTTAAAGATTTTGTTAAGGTCGACCTTTATCTTGAAAGCCGCGAAAAAGCGCGAAGTATTTTCTGAGAGTTCCGCGAATCAGACGCGATGTAAGCATTTTCAAAATTTCCGCGAATCGGGCGCCAAGTACTTTTTGGACTAGTCACGTGACAAAGGCACAATTGCTGCATGTATTCCTCTATTTTCTCGAGATGCCTGGGTCGCTCCCAGATGAATTTTGTTCTAGACGCGAAACGGATAAGCCCCGGATGGCGACGAGCGGAACAGGCCCACCCGGCCTGCCGAAGTCGAGATTGGCAATTCAATTGTCGAAGTTACATACCCCCACCCAGCAGGAGAACACCCTGAATGGCGCTGCACAACGCCGACATGAAGACAACGGAATGGCAGACCCCACGCAAGTCAGCATTCCGAACCCATTGGGTCATTTTATGATCGAAAAACCATTTAATCCATATCTCCCCAGGGTTATGGCTCTGGAAGTCCGAGGAAATACCATTTCCTCATTTTCTGGATCCGACAGTCAGCTATCGTTTTCCCTATGGCTCCGTCGATTTGAAGATATTATGGCAACAAGGACGGATGCAAACACGACCGACGCCCAAAAGGTGAAGTTTTTAATTGTACACTTAGACGGATTCGCCCGCGAAAAGGTTGAAGAAGCCCCACAAGACGTCCGAGGGTCATATCAACGATTGATCGGCTATTTGAGAGATCAATTTGAGTCGCCGCAGCAACGCTTTTTAGCCCGCCAAAAGGTCTCCTCCACACGACAAGAAATTGGTGAGTCAGCCGAGGCCTTCGCAAATCGCCTAATGAAATTGGTAAGAATCGCTACTGCAACCCAGCATGAAGAAGTATATAAAACCACCCTTTTAGAAGCATTTATTTCTAAGCTCAGACCGACAACGCGATTTTGGACGCTACAAGACAACCCGGCGACATTCGAGGAGGCAGTAAATAGAGCAAAGCAGGTAGAAATCCTACTTTCCGATGTTTCAGCCGCTAGCTTATTGCCCACGGAAAATACTCTGGCTCCGGCAGTTCAAGCTATGACGAATTTTTCGTCTAACTACCATGACTTTAACAATTATTCAACTCAACAAAATGATCCAGCGCAGTTCAATGGTGGGATGGCGACGCAGCAGCAATATCCCAGTAACCGTGGATACCAAGGACGGAACTACCAGGTCACTTGCTCTTATTGTAACAAATTTGGTCATCATACCGAAGACTGTTGGCATCAGATTAGGGACAGGCAACGACTGAATGGAAATGGCGGAGCACTACAATTTCAGCAGCAGCAAGGCACATCATCAGGTCAGTATGTTTATCCACCAACTCAATTGAACGCTTTTTCAACGTATAACCAAAATTCCAATCAACAATACTTCCCCGACAACTACTAGAACTTAAAAACGAATTTTCTTTGCAATCCATGCTCCCCCAGCTAATACCAATCAGGTCCCAAACTCCATCTTGTCTCGAAACCCAACTTGAGTGCTTCATCCCCCACTTCAATCAACATAGCTTCCTCAATCGATCACGTGCCTCGATGCTGATCGCAGCCAGCGACAAAGCAATGGAATGCCAGTCGCTCGTTTGTTTTCCAGATCCATTAGGGCGCCGTGAAACTAAATTTATTCGCCGACGGAACAGAGCAGCCCAGGTCAGCAACCAAGATAAGTCCAAAATTATCCTTTCAATTTTTTTTCAGTTTGCTATTTTATTAAAATTATCGAACCTAGCATTGCAGTTACGAATGGGAATTTCATTCTCGAAGTTACTCTCTCCACATCTATTCCGAAGCCAAGTTACCTATATCTTTTTGCTAAGCCAATTCACAACAAGTTGTTTCAACCCCCTAATCTAGTTCCTACGTCAATCCTGACATGAACAGACGGCATCAATACTTTCCGATCCCCTTCGAGTGCCCCCGGACCCTTGGCAGACTCAGTTCGCTCGATTCCACCCCAGCATAGAAGCATCAGGGATCACAGCGAGATTCCTCATCTTCCGGGTCAGCAACTTCTCCAGCAAAACCAACAGGCCAGTTTTTTTATTCCCAAACAGTGCAGCGTAACTCCCTTAATTATTTCAGTTATTATATTATTTTAGCTAACATTAAATTGAACGCTTGCCCGACATCTAGATTTCATCTAGTAAGTTACTATTCCATCTCCATCATTTCTCTTCCCCTTACTTCAAACCCAACGATTTTTGTAAAGCTCACATCCGTTCGCCGGAACACCTCGAGTAAATATTCCATCCCTACGGACAACGACCACCAACTCTAGTCCCGGTAATTTTAACCTGTCTTATCGACACTACTGGTCAATCTTTGACCTAACTAACATTTTTTTCTTATTTTTTTAAACTAACACATTTTTCATAAAAACATAAAACTGAATCGAAACAAAGTAACAACGACTGCATTTAGGATCCGAGGACGGATCCGATGTAGGGTGGGAGGTGTAAAGTATCCAGGGAGCTGATAAGGTAAGTTATTTTCCGCGTTAATCACTCGACCAAAGTTTCACCGGAAGCATTAGTCATCGCCGACCGAAGCGACACAAACAGTAAGGAATTCACCGGAAGGTCGGGAATTTGTTGAGGTTCAAACCACTTAAAGCCCATTTTCCAGATCCCCCGCGGCTTCCGACCGACCGACTACAAAACCCCCCGAGCAAGACGAAACGAGGAGATGGGGAGAGAAGAGGACGATGATCCCACCTCTGTGATTTTATGATTTTTGAGTTGATTTTGAGCGCGATAAATGGAATGAAATGTCCCCGGGCCCCTCAATAAGCCAGCACGTAAAAACCCCGAAGCACGCACTTTACTCACCCAAAAAGAAACAAGCATTAGATTTTGCGTGTTTCGCGCAGTGTCCATGTTAAATACAATTTGCTGGGATTTAATTCGGAGAAGATTAGTTTGGAATGTCGATCTATGCACTTCAACGGTGCTGGGGAAAATTTTACTGATTGGGAGCTGACTGCTGAGATTCTGGCCGCGTTGCGTATACGTCGGGTGTTTATACTGCCTACGATTTCTTCACCATCCAACTAACTTTCTGAGCTCCAACTTTTCCCGGGCCATCAGCTAATACCACTAGTATAAAAACTTGACAAAATTTCTATTATTTTTAATGAAACATCTTTTTTTTCCGCGATCAAATATGCGGCAAACTGATGGTGGATGGCACAATTTGTGTGTTTCAGGTAATTTTCACGTAAAATTTATTTAGATTCGGCTTACTTTATACTTTTTTGATAAGGCGGTTCATGATGGAACCAGTCCAGTGTAAATTCAAGGACCAGAAGCTGCTGGGAACCGAGAGGACAGAAGCTGCGTGCGTCCGGTCTTGCGTGGTGGCGACGACATCCTCTTATTTTCGTTTACAACTCTCGGCACACTCCGTATTTTTCGAAACACCTTCAATCTCGTACTAGACCACAATATCCGAAACAATTCAGCTTTTTCGATAAAACATCATTTTCGCCACTTGATCGACGCTTCTCGGAATATAAAAAATGTTTTTATGTGTTTCGTATAGCGTCCACGCTGGGTCCAATTTGTGTTGATTTAATTCTTTCCCCTTCAATATCTGAATGCTGCTCAAGACTTCTAGACTCCCGGCGAATTCCCGAAACTTTTCATGTTGTTGGGCGCCGCTTGTAAAGAATTTCCATGCGATGCGTATGCGGCGCGGCTTTTTTGTTCCATTCCCCCTGCCCATCCCACTATCCTTCTCAGGTCCGAATTTTTATTTTTATATTTAATATTTATTTATTTATTTATAATTTTATATTTATTTTCATATTATATTTTATATTTATATTTTATATTATATTTTATATATATTTATTTTTTTATATTGTATATATATTTATTTTTTATTTATATTTTAATTATATTGATATTTATTCGAATTTTTATTTCTCAGGTCCGAATTTTTCCCTTGTGGCAGAAACCAATTACATGGCAAGATTAACCAAGATTTTATATTTTCGATGAAACATCTTTTTTTTATCGGTCTACCAAATTTTTTTGAATTCAAACCAAACAAATGCCGAATTATATTTGCGTGTTTCAGAAAATGGCAAGTGAAATCTATTAGGAATTGGTTTTATTGATCTTCACTAAGGCGATTCCCGTAATTTGCCGAACTTAAGCAGCTGGAAGCGGTCATGTCTGCGACGCGTGCGTCGACTCTCAATATAATGGGTTTTATTGGATGAAACGTATTTTTTTGTCGCAAAGAAAATTTTTAGCAGACCAGAGAGGGATTGTATTTGCGTGTTTCACGTAGCTTTCCCGTTAAATTTATTTCGATTTGGAATAAATAAAGTATGGAAGCTTTGGGCGCTGGTCAAACCGTTCCAAATTCGAGGTAAATCTATAGACCAGAAGCTGCAGGTGCCCAAAGAACAAAAGTTACTTGATTTCCGTCTGCGCCGCGTACCTCGATACCCTCCAATTTTCCTTTCTCTGCCGGCTTTCCTTTTCGTTTGTTTTTCATCGTCACTATCCTGCACTACGCCACATAATTCACAGCAAAAATGATGTTTCGTTAAAACATCGTTTTCATCAAATGATCTAGGCCACAAGATTAAAAAAAATTAATTTGATATGTTTCGTATATCGTCCAAGTTTAGTTGGATTTCATAGGATTATTCACACTTTTAATTCGGACTAATGATCAGCATTCCCTCCCTGCAAATCTGCAACACTTTTGATGCCGCTGGGAGCTTGGAGCAGAATTTGGGGACGATACGCGCGCGTCGCGTGTGTTTTAGCTTCTACCTTTTATCTCGCAAGTATTCGTGGCCGATAAGTACAGACCAGTTCTTTCAATAAAACATCTTTTTATCAGCGCCCAAATGGCACCATAAAAAAAAAGAAAAAATGTGTTTCACATTAGCTCTAGATTCACAATTTTATTGCAAAAATATTCAGCGTGCCGTTCTCAAATTTTGTCAATTCTGTAGACCCTGATAGCGGGAGCGAACCAGCCCTCGTATTCCACCTGAAAATCATGGAGGTTTTTCAGGGACTAGCAAGGCATTTCATATCGATTTTTCACCGCGCGTAAATGTCGAGACCTAGCCACTCGTAGGGGTCGATTCGCTTGCATGCTTCCTTTAAAAATAAAAATAATTGAGAGTTACCTCATCCGGGGTGGTATCGTAGTGATAATGGCCGGCGTCGCCATGGCTCGAAAAGCAATGAGTGTGCTCCTGTAATATGAAAAGTACTAAAATAGCCTTCAAAAGTTGAAATTTTAAAAGTATAATTAACTAGATAGTCAATTAGAAGTTGAACTTAGAAAAGACGTTTCAGAAAAAACAACTAGCATTATTACGCTCTTGTCTTCATTTGTCAAAAAATGTTGCAAGTTTTTGGAGGTATTTTTGATAAAAGAACGCATTAATGTGCCTCTAATTTCACGCGACTTTCAGCTTTTAAAATCGCTTTAAGGTCACGAACGAAATTCTAAAGGTGTTGCGCTCGTTGATTAAAATTTTAAATAAGTATTCTAAAATTTATGTAGAATTCCGTGGATTAAACTTAATGCAAGACTGACCATTCTTAGCTGATGTCCCGGATCACTGGAATGCATGACAGTGCAGCAGACGAGCGGGGCTGACATTTCAAAGTAGCGCAGCCATTTGTCCGTGATCTAAAGTTTATTAAAAAAAATTAAATTTATTAAATTTATTGAGTTTGTGAAATAAATCCGCTAACCGGTACTCTTTATTAAAATAGAAAATTGAGGGTGGAACAGAAACAGAAAGTATAATTAAAAAAATTATCTATACTAAAATATTGCTTTCTCGAGGAAACATTGATGGATCTCGGTAAAACTGTGGTTTTTCAAGGTCAAATTTAAAGGCTATTGAATGCCTAGTTAAAATTTAGGCGCGTCGCGTGTCCGTCGCGGTTTTTAACCGCGAGATTTACAAAAAAAATTGCATGTTTCAAAGTTTTCTCCATCCCACCTCATCCTCAGTGTTCCATGGGCAAGCCGGGAAATCGGGCATCACGTGAAGCTTGGCTTTTCCCTTTCGGATGATGAAGACACCGCCGAGAGATACCTGGAAAAATGAAAAAAAAATTGAAAAAGAATGTATCATCTCTGCCGGGATAGATCTTCTAAAAAATTGTTATACTGTTCCTGGGGATTTTTTGGAATTTAAAGGCAAAACAAAGGCATGGAAATCCATTTTTGGCTATGGATTCTTATGTATCCATAGCCACACGTATTGACAACCTTGAATTTACGTCCGTTTACATATTCGAAAAATCAATGTATCATATTTTGGGGTGGAAATTTTGTCAATTTTGGCACGCAATCCTTGGCGGTTCCTATAACTCTCAAGGAGATTTCGAGGGCTCAGCAAGGCAAAGTAGTCGATTTTTGGCTTTGGAGTCTTATGGTTTTGCGGTTTGGCGACGCGCAGCGCGCCCATCCCTTCGCCAGTCCATTGCGTAATCGATTACAAACTTTAAACGACGGCCACGCAGCGTGCGCGTTGCACGTCGCAGCTGCTACATAATCCAGAATTGAATGTTTCACCTTTAAGCGTGAGCATTTGCTAACAAGTTAATCTACTATTGCCTATCTACGACGCTACCTTTCCCATAGACCTTACAATTAAAGGCACAAGCAGTCGGCTTCGCTTCCAATGGATTTTGGTCCGCGGGCGACACGCGACGCGAGCGCTTGGCTAATCCATTACCCAATGGAACTGTAGGCCACGCGTTGCGTGTCGCGTCAAGGACATAATTTTAGAAATGCACTGCCAGAAGATCCTTCATATTCATGCCTCACCCGTACCTTTCAAGTAGCTAGGAAGTTTATTAATCGACCCCTTCCCTCGGCTAGGTGTCGACGGTTACGCATCACTCCAAAAAAACGCATTTTTAAGTGATTCTAAAGGCGCTTTAGAATTTTGTAAGCGTTTTCAAGCCGCCCAGGTACGTGTCCACACCTAGCCACTTGTAGGGGTCGATTCTCGAACTTACTAGTCTCTTTAAAATCGAAAATCATCCTACCGGTCTCTTGGCATAGCAATCGGCAACAGCTTTCCGGATCGCATCCGTGAAATTCAACTTTCCGGTCCGCCCTTTCACCGTCACGTGAACTGAAATAAAAAGATGTTTACTGTAGTTGGGACGTTACTGGTAAGAACATAACAATAGTCCCAAGTAGCTTTCATTTTCTAAATATTTTTCCCCTCTAGGATATAGAACCTTCCAGTCTAAATTTTTAATTGAAACGTAGGCAAAATCCCATACAAAGCAATCTTTAAAGCTAATAAAATATTTTCATAAAATTATATGTTTCCAGAAAAGTGTTTGTGATTCAAAAAATGAAGAATTTGATAATTCCAAAAAACAATTTCAAAAATAAATTGATATAAAGGTGAACGATATGAAAACCCTTTAATTCCCAACGGAACGCAAACGCGATGCGCACCCGTGCTGCTCCCAGCTCCCAGCCCCAAAATCCAAAATCTTCCAATTTAGCAACCATCGAAAATCTTCGAGACCTCCTTACTCGTAAAAACACAAGCTTTAAAAAATATGTTTCGGTAAGACATAAAAATTCGCAAAAATTCAACACGCTAATATATGTGTGTCACAGTGAGTCACTTACTTTTTTCCTTCCCCTCCCTTGGCCAGAAAACAAGAGATGCCAAATTGGGAGCTGGGAGCTGAACCGGGAGGTTACAATATAGAATTGAAAGCGCTTACAAATTGTTATAACATCCATGTTTCAAATTTTTATGAGCTACCGGGGTAAACAAAAACAGTAGTGAGCGACGAATTTCGGCATGAGCCCCATTTTTGGCCAGGCATTATTTCCCTTTGAAAATCAAATAAAATTTCGGATTTTCGATAAATTTAAATCGAACGCAGAGCATTTAGACGCCGAGCGAATGGATGTTTCAAATTTTTATGAGGTAACCCAGAAAAATAAATAATTAATGGCTTATCGCACAAGTCGCAATTTGATTTGGACGACGCATTAACTTGGATAGAAATCAATTTAAATTTATTTAAAGTTAGTTTATGCGGAAATACACGCTTAATTTACAATTACCAATTATTCCGATTTTTTCGAAGAGCAAAATCGTTCTGAAAATTTATTTTTTAATTGTGCAGCGAATTGGCGAATTTAGCCACTATTGCAAATTTCATAGTGGAGATTATTTAAAAAACAATTTAAAATACGACTTTGTAAAATTTTGTTTCGAACAATTAAGAAAACCGCAAGAATTTACCCGTAGTATCTCACGCTTTTGATAGATAGATTATACTTATTTTGTTTTTGGTTATTGATTATTTTTGTTACAAAAAAAACCCTCCAAATTGTGGCGTTTGAAGCAAATGAAAGTTAGAAACGATTAAAATTTCAGGTTTCGCGATCGGTTACAGTTTGACAATCACTAATTATTTTTATCGGAAATGGTCCAGAACAATGTTTCGTAGAAACTTAAGAATTCTGAGGAATTTACCAATATAATAGCGTGTCCCCTGCTATACTTATACTTGGATACCAAAAAACTCCCAAAAAACGTACCGACATCCACCTGCTTCTCAGAATCCTCGGAAATGGCCAGATTGGCCATCAGGTTGAATTTTGGGGTGTCTACCGTACTCTGCTCATAGCCCTTCTCCGTCTCCACGATTTTCGCAATCTTCGTGTTCACCTACAAGGAACCGATAATTAAACTATTTTATTTTCAATTAACCTTGGAACCCTCAGTTTTTGATAACCATAAAAGATTATTTAGCGAGTGATGGAAATATTACACCTTTTTATTGCATTTCTGAAACATTTTTTCGCGCATTTTCCTGATCTAACATTAGAAATGCTAATCAATTTTCAGTGATAATTTTAGCTGCGCCTCCCTAGGAACGATTGCTACCCAAAGGCAAATTTTTTTATGGAACAAAACCAAAACAAATTTTTCCTAAGAACTAACCGCATAATTGATTTTCGTTACTTATCTTTATTGCGCAATTAAATACAAATAGTCAAAATCCCGAAGCCGAAATAACGACAGGGCAAAATCCGGACAGATGCTTGACACTATTTTGGAAGTGCCTATTCAACAGCTGTTTTAAGTATCGGTATTTTGGCTGTCGGGGTTTTGGACGTCAGTATTTCTGTTGGGACTTTGGGCGTCGGCATTTTGGACTGTTGGGATTGTGGCTGTCGAGGTTTTCCCCGTCCCGATTTTGGGCGTCGGGATTTTGACGTCGGCATTTTGGCTGCCTGGACTAGGGTTTTCGGGAATATATGGCGTCCAGATTTTAGCGTTTTCCCTGCTCCACGCATTTTTTAAACTGTTTTTAGATTAAAGGGATGCCGACGGCATAATCAATCGGTTACGCGCTGGAAAGCAAATGTCTCTGCGCTTCTCCCCAGGGCGCGCTCTCTGCCCTGTTGGCTACTTGCCAATTTGTTGATGGGGGGGGATCGACACATGCCGTCGGCAGCCCTTTAACAATTTTTGTAAAAATGGACGATTTAGCCCGAGATTCGCGGCTTAACCGATGCTTGCAACGTCTTATTACTAGAGACAGACAATATTTTACTAGGGATGAAACTGAAACACGTAATTTATGCACAATCGAATCGCTGAGGTTTACAGGAAAAATGTTGCAGTTTTTTAGGTAAGCAGATAAGTGATGTACAAACATGATTTTAAAAATCATCGCTAATTTGTGAATTTAATAAAGCTATCAATCAAAACTTGTGCTTGGATGGTCCCTAAATCATCTTTCTTGACAAGAAGCACGCCCATCGGGCTGCTTTTCGAAATCCAGCCGAAATCCCGACAGCTAAAAACTCCGACAGGCTAAATGCCGACAGCAGAAATTGATAAATTCATTGTTCAACTTGGAAGCAGACATTACTGGGCCCAGACATCCTTTTCGAGGAATAGAAATAAAATATGTTTTTCTAAAAAAACACACCACCTTGATTGTTATGGTTTTCACAAATGTAATTAAAAATGTTTTGAATGTATAAAAAACCTCATAAAAAATAAAGCATGTTTAATTAGGCCGCTTTATTTGTTAAGTTATCCTATAGGACCAAATTCAGCTGGATAATTTAATTTGTGAAAGTACTACGGAACTGACTCGGCACCAGCACTCGGAAATGTACATCTTTTTAAGTGGAATCTACAAACATGCTTTTGCTAAAAACCACCAGCTGCTGGAACAAACCTTATTCTTCGCATAAAACAACATCAAACAACATAAAATAAACAATGCTTTTTCAGCTTGATTTTCGTGTTTTTTAAAGTATGGTATATATTGAAAGTCAGCTAGATACTTTAACTATGCGAAAGTGGGAAACAAGAGGATGGTACATGATTCCGGGAGGGATACATTCCTTTACGAGTAATTAAATCGAAACACAATTTTTCTCCATAAAGCCCCCAGCTTTTTTGGAACATACCTTATTCTTGGCGCAATCGATATCGGCCACCATTTCGCAGCAGGTGCCTACAGTAGGCCAAGGCATTTCGCGCTTATTCTTCGTCCGGCTGAAGGTCATCGGATGCTCCGTAAATTGGAGCATTTCGTTTTCGCTTTCTGCTTTTCTAATTTACTTTAGTTAGTACTTTTAGGTTAATAAAATTCCTTATTCCTTAACTTTACGGCTATTTGCAACATTTTAAGTGGTTAATGCTGGCAATTGATGCTGGGGTTCCTGATAGCCATCTCTTCTGCCTCCAAGGGTTTTTGCTGCGAGCGCGTCCATACGCACATTGTTATTTGTATTCATACGTTTCCAGACTTGACCCGAAAAAGGATGAGAATTTACGGTATTCTCGGCAGGGGTCAGTTGAAGTTTGAATAATGGGAGTTCGGTTAGTAAAAGTCAGTTAAATTTTCAATAATAACAGATATCGTGGCTTGGTTCTGGATACGCGCGGAACACCCACGCCAAAACTTATTCGAACAATAAAGAAAATTGAACTTTTTAAGGCGCAGAAGCCGGATTCAAAAAATATAGCCAACTGAGTCTCGGCTTGGTAGATTTACTCGGGTTTCTTTGCGCCAAAACGAAATGAAAGCTCCAAGCTCCGGACAGACTATTAAGCCCCCCAATGAACCCGTTGCTAGTTGTCGAGTTCCGAAACATTCTTTATTAGCGTAAAAATTTGTCCAAGTTTTGAGCGCTTGTTTTGGCTTTGACAATCGAAAGTTCTCGCCAAAAATTTGCTTCAGATCGCCTCGAAGCCCGACATGCATCCCCATCTGATGACGGTCGTCACGAACCGCGACTTTGTACACCCCGAATTCTTCACGTTTATGCATGAGAACAGTGCGGTACGAATAAAACTCAATTCTCTACGCGATACCAGGCCAGGCATGCGCGTTGCGTTGCGTTTCACCGCGACGCGCGTGGAATCCATGGCCCGAAATTCCTATGGCCCTGAGTTCCCAGTAACGATTGTAGCTGCCAATAATTGGAGTAGCAGAGGGGTTTTTACGAAACATTTTTTTGTACATTCGGAAATGGTTTCACGTCAAACTAAAATCAGGGTATCAACGAATTTTTCGAAAAATTCATGAAACATAGATTTTGAACACGTTTAGGAAACTCTGAAAAAATGGGCCGATTTCCTGTTTGAACTGTCGCAGGCGAGGCGTCGCGAATATCATGGCGTCGAATTTTACATTTTGAAGCATTTGGCGCCGCTAAGGTAGGTTTTTGAGAGAGAGGGAGAGAGAGAGAGAGAGAGAGAGAGAGAGAGAGAGAGAGAGAAAAGAAATATGTGGCTTTGGTCTCTCCCCTTCAAATTATATACTTCAGATACCCACCAATTCCCGATGGTATCACGCTGGAGAGGCAAGTTTTTCCCATTTTGCAAAATTAAAAAATAAGTTTCACTAAAAACCAGCAATAAGCGGAACTGCGCAAGTGTAATTTGGTTGACGTTCTATTGATGCTTCACAAAGCTTTATCCTGGGGTCTTCAAATCCCCAAGCAATCAAAGGAGGTACTTCACGCCAAAAAAAAGATTAAAAATCGAAATTCGAAATTTCAAAAAGTCACGGGATCAGGCAATTATGCAAGTTTTTACGGAAATGAATTAACTTTTTAGGGGTTTGGTTTCGCAAAAGTAAAACTTTTTAAAATAAAATGTTTCATGCCCCGGCGGGGTTCTCATAATCAATTCCTCTACAATATAGTGTTCTGGGTATAGATTTTCTTGAAGGTGGTTTTTTATAGAATTTTACGGCTCAAGTCTTGGAACCCCCCCCCCCCAGCCGACTTTTCAACTTTTCTACCTTCCTTATTTTTATTTTTCGCTACGGTTTTCGACTCAACTGCAATATAGTCCTACTAATTAGCTTACGGCGAACATTTTGGTATACTTTAGAGCTCGCTAGCACAAAGGGGGGCCGAGATACAGAAGTTGGTGCCGGCTGGGGGGGGGTTCTAGACTCTTACCGAATTTTACCGCGATACGCGAGGCAACGCATAGCCGCTGCTGAGAGAGCGTAATCGATTCATGAATAATTTTATTAAAATTAATGAAATTTTTAGAATGGGTGATTTTGCAAAATTCAGGACTCCTTTTGACGTAAGATGTTTCTTCCGCCGGTGGGATTAACGCGTTTCTGTAAAGCGTATTAAAGCGATTTTCTTGTCAAAATTAAAGGGATGGGTAAGGCAACCCAGAAATTTTTACGCTGGTGGTCGGTTTCTATAGATTTTCCCGCGCTACGCAACGCAACGCTACTCAGGGCGCTTAATCGATTACGCAATCGGCGAGCTTGCGCGTTGCGTGTCGATGCGCGGCGCGGCGAAGTCACAGAATCCATAATAAAAAACTATAGTCTTTTTAACTTGCCAGTGCATTTAAAATGTCTTGGTTCTGGTTCGTTGGCGGGGGGGGGCGGGGACTGGCTGAAGATGCCTGGAAAGGTCAGTGGGCGTCGCCTTCCACCCCCCCCCCCCGCTAACGCACCAGAACCGTTTTTTAGCCTTGTTCGAGCCATGATGCCAGCCGAGCCAGCCCATGCTGTGGCTCAACTCACAAAAGTGCTCCTCAACTCCCCGTTTTTCAACAAAAGAGAAGAGATTTCCAGGGTGAGTTTTTGGAGCTACGTTACATTATTGCGATTAATTTAATTCAAAGGCGTTAAATTAATATTGTAAAATGGTAGGATTTAAGAGTTATGATTTTTATTAGTTAATGTTTAGTTCATTAGTTTTTAATAAATTTCTTTAGTTTATTTAGTTTGGATTTTTTGCTTTGAAATATCGGACTTACTAGGGAAGTATCTGAACTTGCCATCGAACTTTGAGAAGTCAGATACACCATTCGACGCACCGTGACAAGAGAATTCCAAATATGTAATAAAATCAACGGGAGCGCATAACGGCAAAAAGTTATGAGGCTTCAAAGTCGGCAAAATGACGAAAAACAGCAACTTTGAGACCCTGTATCATCCCGCGGAATGGAATTTAGTCTAAACTGATTGGTGCTCCTTGTTCAACAAAGAAAGCTCTTTCAAATGAGCTATATTACAGACGGCTGCGAAAAATTTCCGCAAACAATATTTTTGGAATGCAGTGTAAGGGTAGGTCATGGCCAGCTAGTCAAAGACTTTTCGAGAATTTTGCGTAAAGCGCAGGTAAGATAGCTCATTCGCAAGGGAATTTTCTGCTGATCACGATGTACTGTTCCATTTTTGACAAATTAAATTCTTCGAATTCGCACAGAGCCTTAAAAGGGCGGTTTCCGACGATTTTGCCAACTTTGATATGGAGAGCGTCCAATCCTAGTTTTGTTGCCGGAGGTTATTTTGTCATCGCTGGTGCTTTTTAGGGGTCACACAGTAAAGAAAAACTTATTCCCGAGTTTGTACATGCAAAAAGTAGGAACCGGTCAAAAAGCAAAAAATAAAAATCGTGAGAGGATCCGAACCCTGGTCATACAGCCCAGAGACCCATGCGCAAACCACTCGGCCACGAGACCGATGGACAGGGTCCGCTGGGAGGGGCTCTTCTCGCGGCGGCGGGTTTCAATGTAAAACTTAAAATGCTCATAACTTTTTGCCGTTATGCGCTCCCGTTGATTTTATTACATATTTGGAATCCTCTTGTCACGGCGCGTCGAATGGTGTATCTGGCTTCTCAAAGTTCGATGGCAAGTTCAGATACTTCCCTAGTTAGGAACAATCATATACACACCGCCGACGAAAGAATTACATTCAAGCAACCCTCTTTGTAACAACAATTTCTTCAAACATCTTTTTAGCAGAATTTTTTAATCAGGGATTTCTTTTTGAGGTCTTTGTTAGAAAAGCCATCATCTTATTTTATCTTTTATACAACATAGCTGTGTGTTTTCAATATTTTGCAATATTGTTTGAGTTCTAAACGGGAAATTGCAAGAAATAATTGCGTCGGTTTTAGCGAAATAAGCCTGAAAAAAGTTATACCTTATAAAATTATAAACCTACGATTATAGATTGTATAATTTCTTGAATTGTATAATTAATTTTAACTAGATGATCAAACAAATAATACAATTTTTTTAATTGATAGAAAATGTTTTTAAATTGTTCTGCCGAAGAGAGTCAATCAATTGTGGGCTGAATTTTTAAACGAAGGCTCAAATTTGGCGAAACATTTCTTCGGGAAAACGATCATGATTTATAAAATTACCAATTTTCTATTCTAATAATAATAATAATTATTATTCAATTGAGTAAACCACACGAAAAATTATATAAGCGGCTCTTTAATCAACAATAAATAATATATCGGTCTGCTTACACAAAATAGAATTAAACGGATACCGCTGTTCCATTGTCCGTTGTACCATCCCCCTAGCAATAAAATTTTAAGAAGCATTTATTATCCCAAGAAAAGTTCCGAAAACAGTTTGATATCATATGTTTTTTAGAATCGATTAACCGACGACCTGATCCTGGAAATGTTCGTCTACGTGAATCAGCGGCCCGAGTTATCAGAGGTCTTCTTAAAATTGTATGTTTTTGTATTAGGCGAAGTTGCTTGTCTTCCTGGTATTGTATATGTACTGGATTCTTCATAGATTTCACTTTAAAGAAAAAGAAAAATAATAGGAATAAATTTTTGTAGAAACTAAAACCATGCTAATAAATCTTTATTAATTAAAATTTAGGGCAGATATAAAGGGGCTCGGCGGCGAGCCGTGCATCAGCAAACGGAAATTTGGTGGGTGATAGATAAATTGAATCAGATTGACCGTAATTGTAAGGCGCTTGGGTGTTGTTTTAAATGTGTTTCATTCTTCTTTCACATATATTAAAGACAATTCGAATAATTGACGAGTGGAAGAGTTATAATTTGTGTAACATGCATTTAACCAAAATTTTATTTTGACTAAATTTTATTTTACCGAAATGTAAAATTTCTACGGGTTTGAGAGAAGCAATCTAAGAAATTTCGATAAAATGAACTTCTACAAGATCATTTTCAAGGAAAGTAGGGCCGGCATCCTAAGTTTCGAAAAGATGAAAATGGCCCCTAGCAGGGCTATGTTTCAAATTATCCCCAAGTCAAGCTATTAAGAATTATGATCAATAAGCTACGCTCCTCGTCTCGCTAAATTTTTCAAGCTGGCAACCTGGCAGAGACTCTTGGGGAAATCCGAATTTCGGAAAAATTTCAGGCAATTTCCTGATCTCACGGCAACGAGACCCGAGATTAAATGAGGTACTGCATCCACCACCCACAAATCGACAAATTGAACAGTTGATGGAAAAGTACGCGAAAAATGGTAATCTATTTAATAAGTTTCTGTCAAATTCAGGTAGTAAATATGTTTATTATTAAAACTAATTTTTTGCCGAAAAATCTGAGGCTGAATTTTGCCTTGCCGGCTCCTTTAAAAACCAGGAATTTAAAAAATCCCATTTTAAGAGGTAAATTGAACTGGAAGTGTGCTTCATCTTTTTTACTTAAACAATATGATTATGTGAGCGCATGTCTAACGTGATTGTTGTAGTGTCTTGCCTTCCGAATTCCTTTAAAACACGAAACTTCAAATTTACAGGCACCTACCTCACTTTCAATGGATTTACTCGATTTTTGTTAAGCGACGCGTGCCCGGATATTGATGCAAAGGTATCTTAAGTTAAAAAATAATTTAAGAACTGGAATACCCAATTTAATAAATTTTGGATAATTGAATTCAGTTTTATTTTCATTCGCTAGGATTATTTGCTAAAAAATATACGTTTTGGAAAAAATTTTGAGCTATTTTTCTCGTTTCCAGTAAGGTCAATAAAGTTTTATTTAGCTGCGATATATTTTTTTTTTCCAAAATACATGTTTCACAAAAAAAACAGCTGGGCTGAATTCTTGATGGATTAATGTCACGATAACTTCACGCGAGCGATCCAAAAATAGTCTAACATGCTAGCGCTATCATTGAACACAATTAAAATTAATTAATAATAAGTAAATTGATTAATCAATAATGCAATTAAAATAGCATGTTAAACACTGTCTTTAATTACAGTATTCACAGTAATTTTTCTATTTCAGGACATGGCTTTTGATGAAGACAAAGCCCACGAGCCACTGACTCATTATTACATTTCCTGCAGCCATAATACATATTTGGTCGGCGCGCAAATTGTGCAGGTATATTTTAGTATATTTTTATTAAGCTGTATATTTCCTCCAGCAAATTTAAAAGTATTAATTACACTAAAAAACTTATATAGGCCAAACACATCTCAAACATCAAGCACGATCTGACGGCCAGTGATGTCGAGATCTATCGGCAGGTTGGTCTAAACCTTTCTAAAGCTAACTTAAATACTGGTTTTAATTAATAATAACGTTAGCGTTTATTAAAAACCGTTGGAGGGTAAAGGCACAATAAGAGCCTAACAAAGGTCCCGGAATTTTCCTGGGCAGCCCTAACCAACCGGCCCGCAGCAAGAGGCGCTCACCTGGCCCACTGTCCGACCAAATAGGCTGTGCAGGCTGTCTTTTGGCGGTGTGAAATCCAACATGTTGGGGGTGTGGCTAGTAGTAGCTTTACCCTAGTTTTCCTCTCAGGAAACATAAAAAATTTTGGAAGCGGTTCTTCGGATCCGCACTAGTCCATTATTGAGCAGATTCTTAAAGTGAAATAGCCAGATTAGGGTAAACTTTTTTAGTTACGGCTATAATCTGTATTTTCATACCAAATCGGTTAATCTTCAAGTCTCGACCATCTGGTTTTGTGGTTTCGAAACCTTATGCATCGCAAAGCAAAACCATGCATTCTCGCACGGTGGATCCTCCCTCCGTACTCCCGGATCTGCACTAGCAAAAGTTCCCCACCTGGCCCACTGCACCACCATATATACCCCTTCTCAGGTATTTGCCAGGACTTGATCCTACAAGCCTGACTAGGGAATGGTCTCCGCTCGGCCTCGAATTTCGGGTTGAAAGTTAGCTCATCTTGTAGAGCTCGACGAGACGAATCGATTGATGTAACTTTTAGCTGCGGATACTCTAATACAACAAAGTTACAGCCCTTTAAAGTTTCCACCCGACCTTCATAATCCCTCCCCACGCTCCCTCCACCGTGGTCTGGTGGCCTAGTGGTGTGGCAGTGGGCGTGTGGGGAACCTAACGAGGGTTCGGACCCGCTCACGATTTTTATTTTTTGCTTTTTGGTCCGAAGCCTCCTTTTTACGTTCTGAAGGCCGTGAAGAACTTTTTATTCATCATTTCTGCACTAGGAAGTGCTCCCAATAAAAATGAGGCTTCGGCAAAAAAAAACAATTTTTTTTGACCCCAGTGGCTGGTGCTCTAGCCTCCAAAATTTTAGATAATTTTTCAATGGGTGGGCAATCATCTTTAAAAATCACTATCGTGCCCCCGATTCGATGAAAAAATTTTTATTTGTATTGGCCTTGAATTGACCCACCAATGGCATGCTGGCTAATCGTCAAAATTTTCCAAAAATTGTTTTTTTTGCTGAAGCCTCATTTTTATTGGGAGCACTTCCTAGTGCAGAAATGATGAATAAAAAGTTCTTCACGGCCTTCAGAACGTAAAAAGGAGGCTTCGGACCAAAAAGCAAAAAATAAAAATCGTGAGCGGGTCCGAACCCTCGTTAGATTCCCCACACGCCCACTGCCACACCACTAGGCCACCAGACCACGGTGGAGGGAGCGTGGGGAGGAATTATGAAGGTCGGGTGAAAACTTTAAAGGGCTGTAACTTTGTTGTATTAGAGTATCCGCAGCTAAAAGTTACATCAATCGATTCGTCTCGTCGAGCTCTACAAGATGAGCTAACTTTCAACCCGAAATTCGAGGCCGAGCGTAGACCATTCCCTAGTGAGGTTTGTATCAAACTGGATGTCTTCCATAGTGAGGTCACGTAAATTTTGGAACGCAGCTCGCCGAGTTGCACTTTTGCTGCGTAAAGGGTTGCCGACGGCATGTGTCGATCTCCCCCCCAACAACAAATTGGCAAGTAGCCTACAGGGCAGAGAGGGCGCACTGGGGAGAGACATTTTCTTTCCAGCGCGTAACCGATTGACTGTGCCGTTAAATTATGCATCATTAAATTATATTCAGACGCTTCTCTCCGGATGTCGTTGCATCGAGTTGGATTGTTGGGATGGAGCTGATGGCGAGCCGATAATCACACATGGGCCGATGGAAGTCACCTTTTTGAATTCTGTGCCTTTTCGGGTAGGTATGTTTTGTTGTTTAGTTTTAAGGCATGAGTCAGCAAGCCTGTTAAAAGACCGTTAGAGCGTTAAACGCATGGAAGAACCGTTTTAGAAAGCTGCAAAGAATGAATGATTCAGAAAATTTTGACTTTTTGACCATCAATTATCTCGGAATTTAGCAATGTTCGCACGGCTGGCGCCATATCGCCTGCGGCGCGAATTTTTGTATAGTAATAAACATTAGGTTAAACTCTACATCAACTAAATCAATAAAAATGCAAAATCAAGGTGAATCGGTAGTCGGATTATTATGTCGGATCTAAGTATTTTACGTACGAGTTGTTACCTTAAATATTAATTTAAGCATGATCTGTTACAGTATTTACACACCTTATAGATAAAAAGATCGGTTTTAGGTGCTTTATAGAGTACGCGATGCCAAGAAAATTCTTATCAATACGTTGCCCGTCCCTTTAAACCCGAATTTAGGACGTGGTTGAGGCGATTGCGGAGTGCGCCTTTAAAACGTCACCTCTACCCGTATTACTGTCAATTGAAAATCACTGTAATGTGCAGCAGCAAAGGTATGCAATACCTTCAATTTTTGTGCAGTCACAGGACCTATGGAGACCTTATTATTCTACCTTAATGGACTCTTTACTCATTTTTGGATAAAACACTTCTTTTCCAGAAAAATGGCATTCTATTTCCGGACAATTTTTGGGGATCTTCTGCTGGACGAGCCGCTGGATGACTATCCGGTACGAGAGGATCTTAAAAAGTTTAAATTTTTAGATTTTATACTTTTTACCTATCGTAGTAGTCAGTAAAGTGTTTGATTACGGTTCATTAAATTTCAGGTCATTTTGCTCATAAAACACACCGATTGCAACTTTAAAATGGAGCTACTGACGGAAATTATATCAAACATTTTAATTTTTTTAGCTGTGAAGCTTAACGCTAATTTTAATTATTGTTTTTGGACTTATAGCTTCCGCCCTTTGGATATGATTATTTTTTTATTTTCAAGAAAACAAGTAGCCTGTCCTAATTTTATATCATCTATCAAGAACTATTTAAATTCAATCAAGATTAAGGTCTCCAAGAAATTTTCCCTGATTTTATCTATCGATTTTTAGCTAGAAGAGGGCGTGATGCTGCCGTCTCCCTGGAAGCTGCGAAACAAAATTCTAATAAAAGCGAAGAAACCGCATCCACGTCGGCATGTCGACGAAGCACTGCTTGGCAGCAGCATCGGCAGCAAGAGTAGTGGTAAGGAATTACAAAAAAATATGAATTAAAGACTAGTTTAAAAAATATTTCATGAAAGGAGTATTACGGTGCTATTAGTTCAGTTTTAATGCGACGTTGATGGTTGATTTATAATATCTCTACATAGATCTTAAATGGAAATCTAAATAAGCTAATTCTTTGAAATACAGTTTGAAAACCAGTCGTTTTTGCCGAGAATTCGATATTCTTGTATTTTTTTAAAAATTTGTAAAGTTATTACGTTTAGGATAGGAAAACGGAGTTTAGTGACGCATATAATAGAAAAATTGAGACCTGCGACAAAGCTCCTCCCCCCCCTTCATTCGATTTGCATATTACCTTTTTCAGCGAAACAATTACAAATTCGGAATTAATGATCGAAAAAAGGACACTAAATAAAGCGGGTTTGAAAAAATGTGTTTCATAAAATCCTTCAAAAAAAGGAAGTTTTCTGGAAAGGTTTAATGCTGATGATCGAAGCAAGTTATTTTTCTTGAAAAAATTTAACGCGATTACGGGCAAAGGGGCATTTAAAGCTTTTTTTGCGAACTTTTACAGCTTAAAAGCCAAATGCTGCAAATATTTCCGCCAAAGCCAGAACGTCCAAGACCAAATTCTATCAATTCTCCAAAAATCACTGCTAGCCTGGCCTGAAACTCATAATTTCAGTGGCAAGCCTATTCAACCCAAACTTTGCGCTGAAAATGCCGGCTCGACAGCGACGAAAGTTGGAGTTTTCGCCATCTGATTCGACAATTGCCGGTGAGGAATTAGAATTAAAGGGGCTAGGAAATCAAAATCTGAGTTTTCGGGAATCGAATCTTTTTGTCCAAGAAATAAAAGGGATACTGTATAAAAATGCCGACAAATGAGATAAATGGAAATGGAAATGGAAAGAAAGACAAATGGAAAAATTTATGTTTCGGTTATAAATACTGAACAAACTGCTTCTTTCGAAATCATTACTCCTTGAAACATAATTTTGCAAACTATATTTTAGAGTCAAAATTGAACAGTCATAGTTGTCCCAATCCAGAAGAAGAGTAGGTGAAACCAAGCTTATTTGAGCAAGCCTGAAACAAACAAAATAAGAAATCGGTTTGCACCGTTTAATATAATTTTTAAATCAAACTTATCAATTTTAAAATTAATTCATTAAGGCTCCAATTAAAGTTAGTTTAAGCTTTCTTCAAATTAAATTTTTTTGGTTTGACAGTACCCCTTAAAATACATCGGTAATTTGAAAAATTCCTTTTTTTTAGGCAGTCCACCCCAGAGCTCACTGCCCGATTCTGATACGGATTCGCTCGAAGAGGGCGAAGGAATAAAATGTCTCGTCGATGATGGGTACTCTTTCGATCTGTAAACCCGTAACTCCCAGACCATCTCGACGCCCTTAATTGTGATATTTCAAATTCAAACTAAATCTACTAAACTACTACTAAATTCCAGTTTTTTTGCAGGGATGACGAAGACCGGAAACGGTGCAAATGGGTGCTGGAACGGTCCAATAAGGCAAGTATAGCGTTTTGAACTTATTAAAAAAAGCAATTTTCCATCCCGGAAACATGAACTGCTTTCCAAAATTGATGATTCAAAAGTTTTAATGTTGAAAATGCTAGATATTCCGATAATGAGGTTTAGCATCGTCCTAAATTAATGATTTTTTTTAGAATTTTCAGTTCTTTTACAATCTGCGATATGGCTTTTGTTAGAGGCAGAGAGAGAGAGAGAGGGAAAGAGAGAAAGATAGAGAGAGACGGTGAGAAAGAAATTACAGTAATTTTTTAGGAGAAGCAATCGGCCGAAACGAACGGTAAATCACCACTGGCCATGCCGGCAGCAGTCCGGAAAGTGGCTGCTGGAGCATTGGACCGGAAAATATCACTGGAGATTACGAATGAACAGTTCAAAAAGGTACTTTAAACGGGTTATATCCGTCACTATGTCTAAATTCCGGGCAGGCTAGTAGAGATTCTAAATCCTATCCAAAAAAAGATAATTTTTAGCTACTAAAATGTATCCTACTATATATAAAAAAAATAGTGTTTGTGTGTGTGTCTGTGCCACTTTGCATACAATTTCCGTCACCGTGTTCCGTGAGGGCGTGTAGTATCTCATGAGGGGGAGTAGTTATGGGTGTGTATGATATGTCATTTGGTGCTTAATGGTCTTGGGATGACTGCACAATCATAAAATTTTGAAAAATTAAGTGTTTTCGACGTTAAAATTCAGTTTTTGTTGAAAAATCACGAACCCTCTTTGTTAGGAAACAATTAGCATGCGCCGGAAATTGTGGTAGCCTATATAAAGGGAAGAGAGGTAGCGTTTCTCATTTTTTCATCAAAAATCGCGAGAATTATGCAAGTGCAGAATATCATGGGATCAGACGGGGCCAGGGTTGAAAAGTCGCGAAGCGGCTTTTCAACCCTGGTTTTTTTAATTTTTTAATGGTATTTTTATACTTTTTAAATCTCAATTTATTTTTCATTTATTTTTAGCAATTAAAACCGGTGCAAGAAGTCGAAACTGTGGCCGCCGAACTGGCCGCACTCGTTAATTACCTTGAAAGCAAGTCCAGCGCTAAATTCGACATTTTTGATGAAGGTTGGTTGGAATCCAAGCTGCTCTCAGTGTCCATACAAATTTACAAACAACCATATCAATTTAAGCAACGCACTAAATTTAGTCGACAAACGCTACTACATCATGCACTCGTTTTCCGAGGACGCCATCCATCGATATGTGATGAGAGGGGTACATTTTTGGAGTCATACGTAAAACCGGCTAGTCTATCAAAATTCGCTTATTTTTATTGATAAAAAAGCATTACTTGAAGACAAATTCCGGTAGACTTTTGGGGAAGAGTCATGTGGACCTAGAAGTGGCTTCCTCCGGTGCTGGATTTACATGGCGTCATGCCTCCTAGAGCACCCCATTTAACGATCTCAGCGCTCCTAGGTCCAATTTTAATATGTAAAACAGCCAGGAAGGCGTAACATCTAAACAGTTTATACACCCATCTCCGCTTCCCGTGGTAAAACGGGCCCGTAAGGTACACCAAAATACTCGCCATAACAAGAGGAACGGTTTCATATGTCATAAGCATCGGTAGACCAACAGGAATCCGGGAAGCATATATTACGCGCGGACACGTCGCGCCCGTGATCGGTATCTCTTAAAGGAAAGTCATAAAAGGAAGCCTATCCATTAGTGCTGCTCCGAAAAGCCGCTTTCCAAAATTTACGGGACTCCCTTTCGGAAGATCTCGGGTTTGATACAAACCTCAAGCTTCTTGGAACTTGTCCGACCAAAGCCCGGCGAAGGGCATAATATGTGACAATAGTGGGCCAGGTGTGCGTCTTTCGCTCCCCGGCTTCTTGCTGGGGGGCCAAGGCCACCGAATTTGGGCATTGTATTCGAACCCTATTTTTCGCTTTCTTTCGTGAATTCTTCTTAACTTTGGAACATCTAAAATTTTATTTTTGTTCAGCACAAAACAGCCAGCCAATTGGCCCGACATACGGTGCGGCAATTCGCGCGTGTCTACCCCTCTGGAATGCGATATGCCAGCACCAACTTTAATCCTGTTGTTAGTTTTTTAATTCTATCAAAATCAATAAATAATTAATAAATTTTAGTTTGTTATAAATTATAATCATAATCCGGCGTATAAAGGTGAAAAATTAGGTCATATAAAATTCATTGTTCTGGATGATTAGTGGGGGGGTGGGATTTTTAGCAGTAGGAAACTTAATGTTTCGTATGTTCCCGTCGGCACCGAATACTGAAAAATAAATAATTTTTCGCAGTTTTTGATCTAAAATTCGACAAGGTTGAATTTTTTTGTAAAACTGAACGGAAAACAGCCCAAATTTTCGATTTTTTATTTTTAAAATTTTTGTGAGCTTTTAACACACGCTTTTCTTAATATTATAACCTGGACTATGATAACGCCGAGAAATCTGACTTTTCAGCGAAATTCAACCGTAATTCTTCAGGTCTGCTGGATGGTGGGCTGCCAGATGACGGCGATGAACTACCAGACAAATGGACTTCAGATGCAACTGCACGAGACGATGTTCGAATACAATGGAAGAACGGGGTAGGTGGGATAATCTGTATATGCGGCAAGCGTTAGTGAAAGTTGCGCACCTGGTCCACTGCCTCCCCAAATAGACGGAATCTGTTCTCGGTTCTTATGACTTGCTCCTACCTACAAGCTTGAGGTTTGTATCGCACCCGAGGTCCTCCCAGGAAGCCTCGTAAATTTTAGAACGCAGCTCGTAGGGCTGCACTAATTTAAAAACTGAATACCTCGTGTAATCATCTAGCACTTTATGCGAACGGTTAACCTAACTAATCCTACCCTTTCGATGCTCCTTTAACCGCTGCGAAATAGATTAGGTAGGGATACTCAGAACATGCTATTTATGACGATTTGTATGTTACACCACTCCACCGCTGGTTGCCATTAGGCCCACTAGCCTAACAGATATACCCCTTCAGAAACCCTAGTTAAGGATTTGATCCTACAATCTTAAGGTTTGTATCAAACTCGATCTCTTCCTGTCGGAAGGCTCGTAAATTTTGGAAAGCAAGCGTTCGCGTTTGCAATTCTTTGGTATCAAACAATTACAAAGTGATTTTAGTTACGTCCCAAAGCCACGCTGCCTCATCGATTTATCTCAACGTTTCGATCCACGGGCCACGAATTTACCTGGTGTAATGCCGGACACCCTACAGATTACGGTAGGTTTTCGGCGTATTTTCAGAAAGTGTTTCGGGAGAAAAAGTAGTCCTTTCGACTAATGAATCGGCAGTGTCGTGTAGTGCAAGGTCGAAGTTATGATAGCTTTTCAGGTGCTTTCCGGACAGATGCTCTCCTCATTAAATCCTCACAAATGCCTTTCTACCTATGTTACTGTGGATTTGTATGATTTGATTAGGGATACGGATCGGTATGCTTTAATCGTTAATGTAAATAAGCCCAGTCTAGCTAAAGTACGGTTCTCGTTTCTAGCAAAAACTTCATTACAAATTTAATGATGCAAAAAATTCTATGACCGATTTATCTTATTTTCAGTCGATTTTGACAGTTAAATGATCTTGTTACTTCCGGGCTAATATAGACGGTGCAGTAATTCTCTATATTTAGTGGTCATTGCCGAACACGGACCGTTAAGAAAAATGGCTGGAATCCGGTGTATTTTGATAAAGCCACCGATCAGCCATTCCGATTTGAAAAGGTATAAAAAAATTATTTTCAAATTATTTTTATAGGTATTATTAGCAATCTTAAATTAAAAATAGTGTAAATTAATGTAAATATTATAACGTATTTTTTAGATTATCAAGCCCGAATGCGCATTTCTCCACCTACGCCTAATCGACGCGGACAACGACTCCGAGCTGGGCCAACGCATTTTGCCCATAAACAAACTGAAACGAGGTGGGTTTTCGGGTTCATATGGCCTTCAAGAAATTGCTGCTTGGATTCTTTCGTCAAATAGCTTCGGAAATTAGAATGTTTCAAATCTTTTCCAATTAGTTCTTTGAAATGTTCTAATTAATTCTTTTTTTTCCGGACGTCTCCACATCGTAATGAGAATTCAAAAGACCTTATCTGAACAAATCTTGAAAAACCTGAACATTTTCAGGGACTGTACTGTTGTCGGGGAATCCGTTATATGCCCTCGTGATTCCATAAGGCACGGTTGCGAAATGTAAACTATGAACTATTCTTACCATTGTAGAGCGTTTTTAAATACGGAAGCTTCATAACAAATTACCACATTTTTGAATATTTTTGACTTTTTGTTAAAAAAGTGTTAAAATGGCGAAATACGTCAAAATGTTCAAATTTTCAGAAATCTAGTACCGGTTTTCAAAAGCCGCAGATCTGTGAAAACCCCTTTTCTGAACATCTCTAGTAAAGTGGCTTTCGGAACAATAGGAAAAACCTAATGTTTCAAAATTTTCCAAACCCTTCTTTGAAGTTTTTTAGAGTTGTTATTCGACCCGGGTCGAAATGGTCGAAACTTTTGTAGGCTCCCGCAGCGAAAACTTTGTAAAATTCATAACTTCTTTCTAAAGTAGAATTCCGCTATTTCGCCTTCATTTTTGTTTCTGTGAGATCATTTCCTACATTTTGAGTCCTTAAACTATAAGTTTTCATGCTAGAATCATAAAGAACGGCCTGCTTGCCTTGTTCCGCGCGCGGCCATTTCTCGGAACCACTTCCCCCTGCCATGGTGTGCCGTTCTTTGTGATTCTAGCATGAAAACTTATAGTTTAAGGACTCAAAATGTAGGAAATGATCTCACAGAACCAAAAATGAAGACGAAATCGCGGAATTCTACTTTAGGACAAAGTTATGAATTTTACAAAGTTTTCGCTGCGGGAGCCTACAAAAGTTTCGACCATTTCGACCCGGGTCGAATAACAACTCTAAAGTTTTCCAATTGATCGTGTCGGGATGGAAGCATGCTCTTTATAATGCGCATTCCAAAAGACCTTAACTAAACAAATCTTGCAGCCGTCCTGATTCCTGTAATTCGAAAGGTTGTTGGTCCTGAAGGTACTGGACTATTGTCGGGGGGCATTTTGCCCATTTTACCCATTTTGCCGTAGTCCTTTCGTACGGCCAATTACGAAATAGAAATTATAGGCTATTTATATAATTTAGACAGTTTCCGGATATATAAATAAAAATAAAAATAAATAAATAGTCATAAAAAATAATTGAATTTTCCATTTAAATTTTGAATTAAAAAAATTTTATATCTGGTCCAAAATCGATAAAAAGAGGCATGTAAGGAAGAATGATCAACCTGAATGGCAGCTTTTGAAACAGGCTGCCCCAGCTAAACCCCTCCCCCCGCTAACATACCAGTGCAAGTTTGCCCAGCAATAGCAAAAGGCTTATGTTTCAAATTGTTTCGAAACCAGGTTTTAGAATGTTTTGAATAATGGAATCGCCGTAGAAACATCCACGTATCGAAAAGACCTTCGAAAACATATAATCCAAAGGGTCCTCGCTGCGATATTCCTGAGCAATTTTAACGAATTTTTGAATGAAAAAGGAAAGAGGCCGAAGGAATTTTTGCAATGTTTCAAATTTATCGAAAACCATTTTGAACGTTTTGTAAATAATTGCTTCCTGCCGAATGGTTTCAGTAAGTTTAGCTGAGCCTTGAAGCTAATACTCCTGAAATTCTACCTGAAATATCACTTTGCCATGGTTCAAATTTTTTTCAAAACATTTTGGAGACGCGTTCCAAATAATATGGCGTCTTTGGCGGAGCTTTTAAAACTACATTATGCCCTCTATCTTTATCAGGAAATCATTTAGGCTACCGCCACATCATCCTCCGCACCGGCGCCAATCGCCCAGCTGGGCCCGCGTGTATTTTCGTGTACATTAACGTACACTTTTTCATGCTCAACACGCAGCGAGGTATGGTATCTCTTAATGAACTTTAAGCGATGTTTCCGAAATTTTTGATACATTAACTTTATTCAAGGACCTTTTCAAAACAGGTGTTTCATCGATTTTCTGTAAATATTTAACTATAATGGTTTCCATTGTAAATCAATATTCAGATTTGCACGCGGCCTTTATGGACCCGCTGAAGGCGTCGGCAAAAATGGAGCGTAAGTTATTTAAAGGAAGTACGGTTAGCTTTGCGTAACTTGAGATAATTTTAAGCGTAAAAATCGAATATAAATGTTTAAAAAATTCAGAAATCGCTGTTGACCTGACGGATCCGTTTTCTGCAGATTATGCACGATGTGAGAAGAGCGATAGTGAGGATGAGTTTGTGGGTTGCTGAATTATGTACACGATTTCCATAATAAGCATTTCGAAAAATGTTTGCTGATGTTGCTTTTTCGAAATGGTGGTTTTCCTAATCGTGACTGGGAATCGAAAGATTTTTTACCGTAAAAAGGCAAAAAAATTTAACAGGCGGCAAAAAAATGTTTCACGATTGCTAAGGCGCAATCCGTCCACACTAAATCCAATAGAGCTCCACACATAGCGCCGCTTGCAATTCCATTAATTTGTTCTATTGTCTCCACTCTTTCTTCGTATAATGTCATTAAAATAATGATATCTCTACTGTTTTCTGAGAAATTATTTCACTATTGTTTTTCAGAACGTCTCCGAAATGGTGGGAAGTGGCGGATACGTGACGCCAAGGGCAGCTGATGGACAGCCAGTCAGGAAAAGCCCGATGCGGCGGATTGAAGATAAATTTCGGTAAGCCGTACAGCATTCCATCTACTAGTGTTTACTGTCGGCAGACTCGTATTGCGCTAATCTAAACACATATTTTTAGACGCTGGATGGGAATTCGGAAGTGATGAATACATTGCAATTGGCTGAATATGCTCAACTACAAAAATACGTTCACGAGTATTCCTGTGTACACTGAATAAATTTCGAGATTAATTCTACGCGAACAGATTAGGTGACTATCGAAAGAAGATTACACAGACAAGTCCTCGTTTAGCCTCTTATTTTTCTGAAACTCCCGTGTCGTTCTCTTCTTTTGGCCCCCGGGGCCCCGGAATGGTATCCCGGTTCACACATTTTTGCGTTTCGGTATCAATATTGTTACGTTGAATTTGGTTTGCGGCAAAAAAGAATTCTGGAAGAATTATTTTGAGGAAAATAATCATCATCAGCATTATTGAAGTTTGACAGAGACCAGGCAGACTCAAAGACCTGGCTGAGCAAAAACTATGTTCCAAAATTTCTAATGCCACAGCCGTCCACATCATACTGAATGTGTCACGAAATTGTAGTCGATTCATATGTGCCATTCTACTGTTTCGACGTATAATCCCATTGCAATAATGGTATCCCCACTGCTTTCTAATAAACCAGATGGTTCCAGTCGCTTCGCGACTGTAACCATCTGGCCTTCGGGCTACCCTTCATGCAATCCACTTAACAAACTACTTCGATACCTGCCGGATAGCTTTAAATACCCCCCATGGCTGAAATCCCTTTCAAAAACTACCTAAATACCCTCCTGATGGCTTCAGATACCCCCCATGGCTGAAATCCCCTTCAAAAACTACTTCGATACCTCCCTGATAGCTTTAGATACCCCCCATGGCTGAAATCCCCTTCAAAAACTACCTAAATACCTTTCTGATGTCTTCAGATACCCCCATGGCTGAAATCCCCTTCAAAAACTACCTAAATACCTTTCTGATGTCTTCAGATACCCCCCATGGCTGAAATCCCCTTCAAAAACTACCTAAATACCTTTCTGATGTCTTCAGATACCCCCCATGGCTGAAATCCCCTTCAAAAACTACCTAAATACCTTTCTGATGTCTTCAGATACCCCCCATGGCTGAAATCCCCTTCAAAAACTACCTAAATACCTTTCTGATGTCTTCAGATACCCCCCATGGCTGAAATCCCCTTCAAAAACTACCTAAATACCTTTCTGATGTCTTCAGATACCCCCCCATGGCTGAAATCCCCTTCAAAAACTACCTAAATACCTTTCTGATGTCTTCAGATACCCCCCATGGCTGAAATCCCCTTCAAAAACTACCTAAATACCTTTCTGATGTGTTCAGATACCCCCCATGGCTGAAATCCCCTTCAAAAACTACTTCGATACCTCCCTGATAGCTTTAGATTTAGAGATAGATTTAAGATAACTCCCTAACCGAAATCCCGTTAAAAAACAAAAATAACGACCGACCGGATGGAATGAGAGAAAAAAAGAAATGAAGGAAAAGGAAAGGAAAAAACTAAGGAAAAAACTTTCAAAGTTAATTTTAATAATTTAAATTAAAACTTTTTCATAATTTTTTATCAGTTTGGGGGTTTCTGACCACGCTCTATCCGAATCCGAAGAGAGCTAAGCTCTAGCTCTTTTCCCCTTCGAGTTGAATTCGGCTTCACACGGACACCACAGCAAAATTATTATAGTTGATTAAGTCGTTAATGTTCTTTTCAGAACGTCTCCGGGATGGTGGGAAGTGGCGGATACGTAACGCCGAGGGCAGCTGATGGCCTGCCAGTCAGAAAGAGCCCGATGCGCAGGATTGAAGACAAATTTCGGTACGTTACACCTCGTGACCAACATTAGTGTAATTTCGGTAACTCATATTGTACTAATGCTAAAACTCACATTTTTTAGGGGCTGGACGGGAATCGGGAAGTGATGAATACATTGCAATTGGCTGGATTTGCTCAACTATCACGATACACTCATGAGTATTCCTGCGTACACTGAATAAATTTCGCGATTAATTATACCTGCATATATTTCGGGACTGAACCGTTAACGGGGGAAAATAATTTTCTGCTGTTGCGGCGCTGGATAATAAACGTATTTCTATCGTGATTTAGAATTTTGAGTTCAAGAAAATTATAAAGCATTTTTAAAGACCAAAAAGTCAATAAATTCGAAGATTGTTTTACTATTTATAAACTTTTTTTTTTGAAACTATGTCTAAGCTATTTTAAAATGCTTTATCTTGCGCTATAGGATGCGCTAGAGGATTACTTGGGAAAATCCGCCCCGGCTAACAGTCCGGTACCCGCATTGCTTCAATATGGTAAATCTCGGCGGTTAATACGTCAAAATGTTTCATGATTATGGCTGCAAAACGCGGTGTAAATCCTACTATATATAAAAAAATAGTGTTTGTGTGTGTGTGTATGACACTTTGCATGCAACTTCCGTCAGGTTGTTCCAGTTGTATCTCAAGAAGGAGAGTAGTTAAGGTCATGTTTGATACGTCATTAGGTGCATAATGTCCAGGAGATGACTGCACAAAAATCAGATTTATGAAAATCGTCTATCTTCGACATTAAATTTTAGTTTTTGTTGAAAAATCCAACGCCCTCTTTGTTAGGAATCAATTAGCATATACCGGAAATGGGGAGAGCCTATATAAAGTAGCACAGAGCGCATTTTCACCTTTTTTCAGCGTGGGCGTGCCGGATTATGCAACGTGTAAACTTTCATTGGGTTGGACGGGGCCAGGGTTGAAAAGTCGCGAAGCGGCTTTTCAACCCTGGTGAACTCTAATTTCGTGATGGTATGAGCTCATGTCGTCGTGTCGGTTTTTTGAACAATCTTTTTATTAAAATCTTACAAAAATCGCTTGTTTTTTAGAAAAACTCGTACCACCTTCGATTGTATAAACCTTATTAGCTTTGGTCATGAAGCAGCCGGTCTGGGCGGACAGAAACCCGGCTATCCATCCAGGAATCTGATGTTTAGGAAACTAATCGAATAGAAAAGATAAAATAAACTGATCTCAGCATTTGATATTTAAGACTCTCCCATTAAACACGTTTTTAATCGACTGGTCATCACCTAGCTGCACCCTTTGGCATGGCCATCCGAGTCTGGAATAGCGATAGTCGCCCACCTGGCCCACTAACCCAACACATCATCGCCATCACACTTACCTCATCGGAATTTACTTCCAACGCAAGTTTGAGGTTTGTATCAAACACGAGTTCTTCATTTTTGAGGTCTCGCAAATTTTGGAACGCGGCTTTCATAGGCTGCACTCTTTCGCTCTTTGAATGATCTTTATGCCAACCGTCATGTCGCCAGGTTTCAAACCAAGTAAGTTTTTTGTTGATCGCGCGACGTCCGTCCGTAATTTTTCGAGGCATGGAGCTCAAGCCGCAGTGATGCTCTTCATCCCAAAGGTACCCACCCATCCACCTGGCCATTCCCAAAACCGGGGTATCTGAATTTGGCTTGGGGCTCCCCCCTATCTCCTTTACATCTGTGCAGCCCAAAGGGGAATTCAATCAGTTGTGTGTTTGGGGGGCCCTTTGGCCTTGTTTTGGGCCCTTTTGGCCCTCTCCCCCCTTTTGCCATTGCCCGGTCTTTTTCGGGCCCTGTTCTTGGGGTGGTGGGGGTCTATCTACTCCTCCCCCCTCCCGTAGCCGTACCCATCCAAATCCTCTCCGCTGAAACTCAGCACCCGAAAATTGGGCCCCCAAATCTATCCGGGGCCTCTTTTCCTTTTTTAGGGCCCATCCCTTGGCGGGCCCTATTGGGCGAAGGCTTCACGAACAAATTTTCCGGAAATGTGTTTCTTGTGTCTGGATTGCTATCTTGGAAGTCCATAGTCTACACTACAATGTCTTTATTTCCATAAAATTTAATTTTAAATTTCCTAGCGCAATTAATCAGGAATTGGTGTTCCTTGATTTGAAGGCCGACTATGATTTTCGAAAATTATATTTCCGAAAAACCTCTTCTAAACCGGCTTTTTAATACGTAAATTATCGGAAATTCGGCTTCTTATCCCTTACTGAGAATATAAAATACTCTGAGAATCAGCTTTTAGAAAGCCGTAAAATTCTAAAAATACAAATTCCTGCTTGCAAAAAAATGTTTCGAATTTTTTTATTACACCCGGACTTCGAGCCCATTTTAGTGTTGAACTTTGACTTTTGCAATATTTTTTTAGTTTCTGGCAGAAAAAACTATTAGAAACACTGCTACAAACATTAGATATTATCAACAGGTATGCATAGTGGAAAAATAAAGATTAGTATGATTCACCGATTTAACTAAGAATTGAGAACAAATTCTAGTTACTTTCAAATTTTCAGCTCCGAAAATGCAATGGAAAGGTTTTATCACTTAAAAAGGTTGGTATATTTTTCGGGTTACATTTTCGATACTTTGAAGCTGTCATTCGATAGGCAGCAAAATATAGTAACCACGAATTGAAAGCCCGGAAAATTGATTTTAAATATAGGAAGCGCCGCCACGCCCCGAATTAAATCGGATTTAAAACTTTTTATTATAGACAAAAGTGTTAGTTTATTATAGAAACCCCCCTCCCCCCCCATTAGCCTAATGCTTTTGCGTGTTCCGGAATTATTGATCTGACTGGCTTACTTGGAAAAACGTGTTTCAAAATTACTACATGAATGAAAAAAGTTGTATATCCGCGTTTTCGCGTTTTTTAATGTTTACGACCGTTCGCTTACTTTTTGATTGAGCTCTGTTTTTTAACTATTTTTTTCAGGCCGAAAATGTTGTTACAGCCGCCACACAATCCTGGTAAAGCAAATTAAATTTAATTAACTTAAATTAAGTATAATATACTCTTATTAATCCCATTTTTTAGAAACGGCGTCGATGCGGAATCGAGCGATGACGCCTGGACAGGTAATTGTTAAAATGCTATAAAACGGCTTTTTTTTCTGAGTTACAACTGGTTAGGAGAAATTACCGTCCTCAAAAAAATTTTATTTTCCACAAAAGTTGAAACCTAATAATTTTTTCATCTTTCTGGTAACTTGAAAATCATTGCAATTTTCGAAGGGGATTTTGCATCACAATTTT